CCACATATCCACACATCCATCCACACATCAGCCATCTTTCTTTTAATTTTTTATTTTTTTTTTAGAGACAGGGTCTCACTCTGTCACCCAGGCCGAGTACAGTGTCACTGTCATAGCTCACTGCAGCCTCAAACTCCAGGGCTCAAATGATCCTTCTGCCTCAGCCTCCCAAGTAGCTGGGATTACAGGCTACACCACGCCCAACTAACCATCTTATGTTTTTATGCATCTCAAAGCATATCATAGACACTGTATCCTTTTACATTGTTAAGGTCAATACTATACTCATTCTGATGTGTAACCACATCTAACTTTTCTTTTGCCTGCAGTTTGATTCTAAAATTGAAAATGAATAAACAATATTTACATTTTTGTGACAATTGTCTGGTAAGGCTCGGTGATGCCTTCATATTTGAGAATGAGACAAAGAAATGCTGGTTGGGCACCCTGGGTATGGGAGCAATGCTGGCCAAGGGGTAGGCCCCACTGCGGTGGTCACCCAGGCAGAGCGTTAGCAGGTGCTCTGGGGAATCTCCAAACAGGAAACTCCAGGGTCTTTTCTCCAGGGCCACCCTCGGGGAAACCTCGGTTTTCCTTTTGGTCTGGGGGCCAGCCTGTTGGTGCAGAGTGTTCTGCCCACTGGAATCGAGGAGGAGGTTGGGGGAGGCTGCCTGTTACTATGGAAATTTTCCCTTTTTCCTTCTGTTTCTAGCACCATGTTTCTGTCTGTACCTCCCGGTACCTGGAATTTTTGACCACCAAGCTTCTTCAGAGTTCTTCAGAGTTCTTCAGAGTTTTTCAGGGCAGACTGGCCTACTCTCCGGCTTGCTCTCTGGGCTTGGGCTTGTTTCATCCCATGTCACCAGTCACCACTGTCCTGTCTGCTTTATGTCTCGCATAAACGTGTTGAGATCTCTCGTTCTGTGAAGGCCTCCCCTTGTTCTCTCCATCACTGCAAAGTTTACATATTTTACATTTTTTCCTTTCGTCTTAATGGGCTCTCAGGAGGGATAGATACAAAATACATGGTCAAGCCACCACCATTAACATGGTATTTCTTGTTCTTTCTATAACTTCCTTTTTATATTGAACTCGTGGCTTGATCTAAATTTCTTTCTATACGCTTTATATACCATATATTTATGACATTAACTATATATGGCATATATAGCTATGTGCCGCAAAGCTTTCTTATGCTATAAAATGAAGAATAGGTTTTATCTTTTTTTCTAACTAGCCAGTTTGCCCAATATTGTATGAAATCATCCACACTTTCCTCACTGGTTTATGAGAATTCCTGTATCCTGTATTAGAGCTGATGTCAGGACTGCCTAATCTCTTCCGGTAATTTATCTATAAATCGTTGCCCCGCATCACATCATTTGCCAAGAATTACAAATACATTATAATTCTC